CTATTATACCGAGCAGAATCCCTTTCTGGAGTTTCAGCAATGGGTGATTGCACCCAATTCACAGCACCTGGAATGATGCCACTGCAACTGCCCTGAGAAATGATGACATCATCAGTCCTCGCCTGAAGTAAATTAAAAGGACTTGCCATACTAAATGATACCAACTTTGCTTTAAATGCTTTTGTCTTAACTGCACCAACCTGGTCTATAGCTTTTGCTTTTGCTTTTAAATAAATAAAATGGGGGGGCGGGGGAGATGTGGAATATTCATAAAGCAAATGTACTTCACAGGGCCTGGTTTTCCAAAGCCTTGCAGTTTCAAATATTGACCTTGCAAAGGACAGGAAATTTTCCTCAGGCTATAAAGTCTCTGATGTAAGGTAAAGATTTGTGGCACAGAAAGGTTGCTGGCTCAAAGACAGACTAGTTACTGATTGATATGTAAAGATACTGGAAATTTCTGTAGGGAGAAGGAATGTTTGCTAAGATCAAGCTTTTGTTGGTGGATCACTTAATTGTCTAATGGAATGTCATCTGACTTGTTTCACTGAAAGTTACCAGCCTATATTGTTAAACTATAACCCCACCTATGCTCTCTTCCTGTAACTTCCTGGTCTGGAAAATAAATGCAAGAAGAGAACCCCAATTTGGGGTTAATTTCCCAAGGAAGGGATGCCTCTCACTTGAGGGTTCCAGGGGAGATTAACCACTTCAGGGTCTCTCACTGCTCAGCAGAAATGGGCTTTGAGTAATCCTTTGCAGCTCCATCACCCAGGGGAAGTGGGATGACAAATCCGTGGGGGGAAAGCAACAAAAACAGACACAAATAACCTCAAAGGCTATAGTCAAAGAGTGAGATATTAAAGCTTAAAATTCTGAAGAGGAACAATTATTGGTGAATGATTCAGGGTATGGCCATGGATGGCCAAAATAAATTGAATGTCTCTTGAACTGAGGAGGCCAGGGAAGGATAGAAAATTAGATGAATTGTCCACATGGACATGGATCTCACCCAAGATGAGAGAAAAATACAGAGTAATCAAAAAGACTGTAAGACAACTCCTTAAATCTTCTATGAATAAAGGAGAATACCCAAGGTAGAAGGTTGGCAATTGACAGCAATGAAGAGGAATAGAAGATTTGTCAACTGGGTGACACAAACTTCAAATAAAGTGGAGGTTTTATACAAGTATGTAATAGTAATTGCTTGGAAGTGTCATTGGAAAATTAGAATGACCAGTCTAGTTGTCAACCCTAATCATGGGAGGGCCAAAAAAGAATAGTTACCTTTCACTGAAACAGCAGCAGGGGGTACGGTCTCCTTAAGGAAGAGCTATTAGAGGAGGAGACGACCGAAAGGAGGTAAGACGAAGACCAGTTGGGGGCTGACCAATTAGCTTACTTGGTTAGAGCACGGTGCTGATAACACCAAGGTCGAGACTTCAGATCCCCCTAGTGGCCAGTCACTAAAACGAACAAAGAAGAAGAAGACCAGTTGGAAGACCAGTCTCTTTATCTGGGTGAGAAAAGATAACAGCCTGACCTACCCAGTAACAGTAAGAATACAAAAGCAAATATATATCCTAAAGATATTAAGGAGATAGACTGATTTGGTAACTGATTAAGTGTGAAGAATAAGTAGGAAGAATGAAGGCTGACTTCCAGGATTCTGGTTTGGGTGTAAGAATGTGAAACAGGAGGAGGAGCAGGTTTAGAAGCAAAGATGATGATATCAGTTTTAGACCATGTTGAATTTGTGGTTCCTGTTGGTTCTCCCTGCAGAAACACCCTATAAGGAACCAAATATAAAGATCCTAGGTTTATAAAAAAGATTTGGGCTACAGAGATGGATTTGAGAATTATCGTCCCTGGATGGAAGTCAAAGCCAAATGAGTAACAGATCACTTAAGGAGGATGTTTTTCTTTTGTTTTGTTTTAATCAATGAATGAAACCTCTTTACCTCTGTAGTCCTGATTTATTATTTTTGTTTAACTTGTTCCCCACCTTTCTCTTGAAAAAAATTATTGAGTGCCTCCATTGTGGAGCATCTGGGAATACAATGGTTAAAAGCCCAGTTCCCTCCCACTGCTTCTTTGACCTCTCACTACCTACCTTCAATTATTTATTAGAATACAAACTCTTTTTCCTATTAGAATATAAGATCCTGTTAAAAGAAAAAACTCCAGACAAATTAAGTTCGAGAGTTTAATTTGAGCAAAGAACAATTCACAAAATCAAGCAGCCCCCAGAATCACAACAAATTCAGAGCAACTCCACAGCTGCCACATGGTCATTTCAAATTTATAGACAGAAAAAAAAAATGACATACAGAAAATAGAAGTAAGGTACAGAATAGCTGGCTGCCTATAATTGGCTAAGAATCAGCTACTTTTTATAAGAGTAGGGTACAATCTGCTTGCATGCCAAATTCGGTTACAAGAGTAGGCTAGTCTGTTTACACATCAAGTTAGGTTACAGTTCACTAAATCTGAAGAAACCTTTAGGCCAAACTTAAGTTATCACTCCCTAAGGGCAGATACCTTGTGTCTTATTCTCTGCTGTATTCTCAGAGACTGAACATGCATGAAACAAAGAAGGCCTTCCAAAAATATTTATCAAATTAGTGAATAAAAAAGAACAAAGTTTGACCTGCAAGGTTGACAAGGTAAACTCTCATAAACCAATATAACAAATAGTAAAAAAGTCACTGTTGTTCTGGTTAGACTTATTTTCAGTTTATTAACTTAATTAAACCACAAGAAAATAGGCAAGCAGAAAATAATGATGACTCCATCTAACACCACTTAAGATGATTACTATCAAAAATAATAATCCTCTTCCGGTCAAGATGGCAGTCCCCAGTGTCACTCTCACCCAGAGATCAACCAACTACAACTATTAAAAAGCAATGACAGCCAAGCTGGGGCCTCTAGAGCTCAGGGGAAGAGGAGCAGAAGAAGCCACAATGAGAGAAAGAAAGGATCACTCCCACCATTTTGAGCCCCAGCCACTTTAAAGCTGGAGCTGGTGAGCACATGGAGCAAGAGCTGGCAAAAGCCACAGCTGTACCTTTGGGTGAAGTTGCTTGGAGGTAGCAGGGAAAGAGAGAGCTTTGATGGCCCCCAGCCCAGCAAGACCACTAACAGGGTTCCCATGGACCCACATAGGAGCAAGGAGCCACAGACAACTGAATAAAGCAGCCACTCATAGGCCGTTGAGTCATTGCAAGGGACCAGAGCACAGCCCGTCCTACAGGAAGGGTTTCCATTGTTGGCGGAAATGTAAAGTGGCACAGCCACTGTGCAATATGTGGTGTCTTAAAAATTTAAAAATAGAATTTATCCAGCAATTCCACTTCTGCATATATACCCTAAAGAACTGAAAGCAGGGTCTAAAAGATATATTTGTACACCTATATTCATACCAGCATTATTCACAATAGCCAAAAGGTAGAAGCAAACCAAGTGTGCATTAACAGATGAATGGATAAAATGTACATAAAATGGAATTGCATGGCTACGGCTATGGCTAATGTCTGGAATCCTGTCGACATCGCCAGTTGTAGCACTCTTAATCCTGTTTGTGACACCAATTGTCTATCTAGCTACATGACCACGCTAGTTGTCAGGCTCTTTTACCTGCTGGTAATCCTGCAGACTGGGCCGATTGTTGAGCTAGGGCTGGGTCTGGAGCTCCCAGACCCCTCAAACCCATTCACAGACTGGGTCACAAACCCTTCATACACCAGGCTGGGTCACCAGGCTTCATGCACACCAGGCTGGGTCACCAGACCCCTTCACGCAGGTCTATGAGCTAGGTAACCAGCCAAAAGGTCCTTGGAAGCTGTAGGTTGGGAAGCATGGCTGCGACAGATGGTCGCCCAAGGCACACACCCACCCGCCTGCTTCACTAAAACTCTCTCTCTCTTTAAAGAACACAAGAACAGCAACAAAACTAAAAACTTAGTGCAGGCATGTGCACTACCCCCCCCCATTTGCTTACAAAGGATGTGCTAAAACCACACCCAACTGGACCCGAGGAGAGGGCCCTGACCAAACTATTCTATTTTCCCAACAGGAATATTAAAAAGGAACGAAATTCTGACAACATGCCACAATACGGATGAACCTTGAGGACATTACGCTAAGTGAAATAAGCCAGTCACATAAATACCACACTGTATGATTCCACTTACACGAAGTTTCTAGAATAGTAAAATTCATAGAGACTAAAGCAGAATGGATGTTGCCAGGGGCTGGGGATAAAGGAAATGGGAGGTTATTGTTTAATGGGTACAGAGTTTCACTTTTGCAAGATGAAGAGAGTTCTGGAGATGGTTGCTGGTGATGGTTGCGCAACATTCAGTTAAAATGGGTGAGGTGGTAAATTTTATAGCTATTTTACCACGTTTTTAAAAATTATATATAAAAAAGAACTATGAACAATTCACATCAATAAAAACCAGTGTGGGGGCCGGCCTGGTGGCGCACTCCGTAGAGTGCGGCGCTTGGGAATGCAGCTGCACTTCCGCCGAGGGTTCGGATCCCATATAGAGACCGGTCAGCTCACTGGTTGAGCGTGGTGCGGGTGCGACACCGAGGGTTGCGACACCGAGGGTTGCGATCCCGTTACCGGTCACGAAAAAAAAAAGACAAAAAGGAAAAACAAAAAAACAAAAAAACAGTGTGTGGGGGAGGGAACAAGAAAAAGAAAGAAAAAACCCCAAAAAACAGTGGATAAAACAGAACTTCCAACCGGCCAGCCACAACTCAGCCTGGCCACCAGGCTGCGGGAACAGAATGCCAACGGAGTGGCAAGGGCAGGCCTTGGGCCCCGCGCAGGGCGGGGCTGCAGGGAAGCCGCAAGTTAAAGCGGTCGACCCATGGACTAGGCTGCCACTGCGCAGGCGCAGCATGTAGTGGCTAGCGAGGCGCCTTTTAAACGTACCCGGAAGTGACGCCTGTAACGCTGAGACAGGTTCAGGGAAGATTCAAGCGACTTGCCTAGGTGAGCCGAGCAGAGGCTGGTGTTGTGCCGCTGCTATGAGCTGCACCATCGAGAAGATACTGACAGACGCCAAGACGCTGCTGGAGAGACTGCGGGAGCACGATGCGGCCGCCGAGTCGCTGGTGGACCAGTCGGCGGCGCTGCACCGGAGGGTGGCCGCTATGCGGGAGGCGGGGACAGCGCTTCCGGATCAGGTAAGGCAGAGGTTAGGGGTCCGGCGCCTTCGGGCTCAGGGCGCCTGAAGGATGGAGAGCGAGGTAGAGTGGGAACTCGGCCTGGAATTTATTCCCGGTCTCAGAGAGCGGCAGTGAGACCTTTCGGTGGGGTCGGGGCTGAGAATTCTGCCCTTGATCCCTGACTCCTGCCTCTTGAGTTGCACTGCCACTGTTCTGCTTTAGGGCGCTCTTAAGTCTGTCTCTCTTTATCCAGTATCAAGAGGATGCATCCGATATGAAGGACATGTCCAAATACAAACCTCACATTCTCCTGTCCCAAGAGAACACACAGATTAGAGACTTGCAACAGGAAAACAGAGGTTAGTCAGGCCTTTTTTGTGTAGTCGTTATAATTTTTTCATATCTGGTAATAGTTTGAAAGTTCTTGCAAAATTGCTTTCACAGTTCATAGAAGTATACATGCTGTATGTATTTACAGGTTAGTACTTTTAATAAGAGTTGTCCTGTGCTGACACAGTAACAATAAAGTTTGTTTAGATTACCCTTTTCAAGGTTATCTGACTCATTTGTATTTATAAGCAGCTTACCAAAGAGGTGCTTAGTTGAGTTGAATTTTTGCATGGCTTTTTTAAGGCATCCCCAAATGGAGGCTTGCATAACAGAAGAGTTCATATCCTCAAGGGCTTAAAATTTAATGTTTAAATGTTAACTAAGACAAACACTGAAGTTAAGTTTGAAGGTTTTGCTTATGTTCTTGTGCAAGGTAAAAGAACAGAATTTTATCCTCATGATATATATTCTTAGGTTTGATGAGTACATCATTAATAATAGTATTAATAGTTGTATGTTAGTTTACAGAGGACTTCTACGTCTTTCATTCCACTGTATTCTCATTTCTTCATTTTGAGGTAGACAAGCCAGATATTTATTACAATGCAGATAAAAAATAGGCTCAGAGAGGTTAAATGATTTGTTCATGACTATTAGTAAGTTACAGAACTGAACTCAAGCCCATGTGTTTGGATTGTACATCTCATGTTGTTTCTACCAGACTATGCTGCCTCTACCTAGAAAGTTATTTTTCAGGTAGATCTTAACTATTCAATTTTGTGGGCTTAAATACTGATTTACAGCTTTGGATTAATAATATCTCATGGAGTGTTATAAAATTCCAACTATTAAGAGTTTGGCTTTGAGTGCTATCTCTAAAACATCACTGCCAAATTATTTTGTTTTTTCATAGAACTGTGGGTTTCCTTGGAGGAACACCAGGATGCTTTGGAACTCATCATGAGCAAGTATCGGAAACAGATGTTGCAGTTAATGGTTGCTAAAAAAGCAGTAGATGCTGAACCAGTCCTAAAAGCTCACCAGTCCCACTCAGCAGTAAGAAACTTTGGTGATGAATTCTTTTTTTTTTAAAGATGACCGGTAAGGGGATCTTAACCCTTGACTTGGTGCTGTCAGCACCAGGCTCACCCAGTGAGCAAACCGGCCATCCCTATATGGGATCCGAACCCATGGCCTTGGTGTTTTCAGCACCACACTCTACCGAGTGAGCCATGGGCCGGCCCCATAACTTTGGTGATAAACTCTAAAGGAACTGAATTGAAATCTTAAGATTATTTTAGATTGTGTGCTTTTTTTTTGAAGAAAAATAACCTTATTTTCCTTACATGTTCTTCACATTCATTATTTTGCTATGGATTTGTAAAGATATGAATAGAAAGAACGGGTGAAGGGCTGCTCAGGTCCTTTTATTTGAATGAGCCTAAGGTTCCTCTTTCCCTCACCGAGATGTCTTTTCAAGATGTTGATGAATGCTTAGCTCTTCCATCAAACATAATGCCAATTAGTGTTGAAGATGCTCAGTAAACACTTGGTTGGTTATTACTTGTACATTTTACTGAACTGTAAGTTCCTTGGTTTAAGGAGCATGAGTTCATATTTTATTCCTAACACAGTACCTGCCACATTGCACGCAGTCAGTAAACCTTTCTAAACTGAACTAGATAGCATCATGTTATGTTATTAGGGGAGAGAAATATGGTTTTAAAAAAAACACACACAGAAAAAAAACACGGCATAGTTGCTACACTTTAGTGACCTATGATTTAATTTGGAAGACTCAGTAATTGTTCTTATGGTTGTAGAGTGCTTCATAGTTGTCATTGTAGATTCACATGTTCTATATCATTTAATCCTGCATTAATAGATTGGAGCGTCATTATTTGCTACAGTGAAGTGTAGCAAAAGATTAGTATCATTTTAGATTCCATTGGATGCATTTTACTAACCTAACAAAAGTTCTTGGGAACAGGGATATTTTAAATATTTGAATTGCTTTCCACTGGAAGAGAAAAATAAACTTTATTTTCTATGGTCCAGGGGAGAAAACTTGACCCTGGAAGGAGACAGAGTTTAGGTTACATAGAAATACTTTCTAAAAAATATGTCCAAAGATGGAATAAGGCACCTTGGAATGTGGTAAGCTTCCTGCCAATAAAATTATTCAAATTTAAGTTAAACAGCCACTTAGAAATATTGTCCAACATCCAATAATCGGTTAGACTACAATTGATCTTTTGAAAATGAAAATTATTTGTGAATACCACAAGGTCACTTTCTTATGGCTTTACCTTTGAGGATTCAGATTAGAGTGAAACTGCATTGTAACTTCTGTAGCGTAGATTAAATGAACTTTTAAAAATTTTAAAGCACATGTTCTCATGTGCTTCATATTTGTAAAAAAGATGACTTTTTCACCTTTTTTTCTTAATACCTTCACAGGAAATTGAGAGTCAGATTGACAGAATCTGTGAAATGGGAGAAGTTATGAGGAAAGCAGTTCAGGTGGATGATGACCAGTTTTGTAAGATTCAGGAAAAACTAGCCCAGTTAGAGGTAAGAGTGTTGCTATCTTAGGTTCACAATATTTTAGGGTTTTCATAGAGTCTAGAAAGTATGCCATCACTATCCTATCACAGCAGTGTATCAGTGTTTTTCTGTGTGCTCATGATTTAAAATTAAAACTCCTCCTTCATACCCTTTCCAAGAAAGGAAATGTTGTAAACAGCAATCAGTGAAAATACTAGCTATGTACTGGCTAGAAGTTGAAATATCGTATTGGGATGGTAGAGAGAGTAGAGAGAACACATTATATGTGAGCTAAAATCAAATAGATAATGTCTAAAATCGATGATCAGGAAATAGCAGTATAGGCATATTATTTAGAATTATGGAAGCAAATACCAAAAGAAACAGATAAAAGTAGTAAAAATAGTTGCCTTTGGGGAACAAAGCCAAGGAACTGCTGTTTGTTTGTTTGTTTGGTTGGTTGGTTGGTTGTTTGTTTGGGTGGCTGGCTGGCTGGCTGCTATAGGTATCTAAGCCCTTGACGTTGGCATTATCAGTATCACACCCTCCCAGGTGGGCTAACCAGCCAGCCCTACTGTTTGTTTTATAAGACTTATACTATTCATTTTTTTAAAGCTATTTTCCTGTAATATTTTGATTAAGATAGGAATATATTACAAAGTAAGGCCTGGGGTAATAGTGTGCCCATAGTATTGTTAAGGAAAAACATTTCAATTCAACATCTGAATGCTGCTTATTTATGAGGTACCATCATGGGCCCTTGAGAAATACCAGAGAGAAAAAGATACGGTCCCTGACCAGAGTCTACTGGAAAGAATAAGATGAGTACTTATATGAAATGGTATGTCTGAGTACTAAGAGAGAGATACAGAATACTGAGGGAAGCACTTCATATGGTAGATTTATTGACCCTGGGCTCTGATCTCTTGGTGACACTGAAAATGATATGGTTTACCAGAATTTCCTGCAGAGAGAATAAGAATGAAGAGTGCAAGCTACCCTATCCGGAGATCAAAGGAGTGACAGGCCCCATGTAGGAATTAGGAGTTAGTTAAATGGTAGAACGACCTTGTCTCACTGTCCCTGATTTACCTTAGTTGTGGAAACAGCCCTAAGGAAAAGTGGGACAAATTTTACTTAATACTTCAAGTATAAAAAAACTGGATTCAGTCTCCAGCAATACCACGTCCAAGTTGTCTGAATTTCGACAAGTTTTTGCACTTTTATGAGCCACAGTATCCTCATCTTAAGTAGAACATGGATGTAAGCAATGATACCTATGCTACTGATTGTTGTGAGATAACGTATATAATGTACCCACATGGTACCTGGCTAAGTGTTCAGTAAGTAGTTTCATCTCCTCCTTTGCTTCTATTGTCTAAAACTATAAGACATCTAAGAAAGGAGATTAATCAGAGTGAAAAGATTATTAGAAATTTGCAAAATAGAAGAAACAATAGTAAAACTTGTGGGAACCACAAAGAGTATGACAACAGTGAATTCCTCAAGTGGAGAGGAACCTTGTTTTTTTCTTCTTTGTAGTCCTAACAGTTGGAATATAGAAATTACTCAGTAAATGTTTGTTAAATGAATAAATATTACAGTATTTTAAGAAATTCTCAGCTAGTAGTTTTTTGTTTCCTTAAAACTTAAAATATGTTTTCTGTTCCTGGCCCCAAGCAATGTGTTCTGATGCAGTTTGACAGTAAAAATACTAGAAATAAACATATACCCGTTTTGCTTTTTTTTTTTCCAGCTTGAAAATAAGGAACTTCGAGAATTATTGTCCATCAGCAGTGAGTCTCTTCAGGTCAGAAAGGAAAACACAGTGGCTACTGCTTCCCAAGCCATCAAATAACTGAACTTCTACGTGATGGCTGGATTGTCTATCAAGGAAAGAAGTTCTTAGCTTTCCATTTGAGTATTGTCTATTCATTGTCTTGCCTCAGACTTAATTTAGTGTTGATTAAAGGTATCAAGTGGCAGTTTAGAATTCCCAGTCAGGATTGGCTGTCCACAAAACACTTTTCGGGTGTGTTAGTGAGTATACGTGCTGAGTTTCACCATTCCTTTCTCCAAGAGACTACTTTTAATTTTCATTTCTGGGACCTCTATTTATATAAACTGTGCTTTTAGTTCATTTTTGTTTTTCACAGCTCTGAAACTTTGAGAATTTTATTATAAACCAGCAATTTTATTTTATGTAGGATTGTAAAATACACTTCTAAGAATTTTAAAAATAGATTCAACTTTTTAAATCTATTTGGCATAAGCCTGGATTCTTTTTTCCATTTGACAAAAGTAATACAATTCCACAGAACTGGATCAGTAGATTGTCTGATTTGTAATGTAATTCACCTGTGAAGTTTTAAGTCTCTCTGGTGCTAAGAGTTGGCACTTAGTGGCCTAGTGTCTTTACTCTTAATTTGAGAGAAGCTACCATTAGTCCCCAGAAAATGTACTTGGAAATAAGTCAACTATTTTTTTCTCAATGATAGGATAGTTGTATTTTTCAAAGAACACTGAAGAACTTGTCCTTTGTGTATGTACGCACACGTGTGTGCTTAGTTCAGATACTAAAAGTAGCTTTTATTTATTAAATATAAGTAGTTAATTTTTCAGTTTTGTCCTACTAGGAAATCTTTAACTTAGGTAGTTTACCCTGTGTGAAGAGCATATCATAAATTTATTCACATCATAGTTCTTAGGTACTACATTATACTATTTAATTTATATAAAATTTCCATTTTATAGTTAAGAACCATCACTTACTTGGATGTCTTTTATTACTAGTACTAGTAGTTGGCTTTGTTTTAGATCCATTTTTCACACGGAAGCAGTTTTATTAGCTAATGAGAGTTATTACATTCATAATGCTATGTAGGCAACAAGAAAGCAAAACTAATATTCAGATGCTGGGTGGTCAGATAGGTTCACTCATCAACTCAGTCCTCTGTATCAGTTTACTCATATTTCAAGTTTATAAATTACTTCATGTTATACTATCTATTTAGGCTTGCCCAAAAATAGTTGAAATAATGAATGCTAAACCTGCCAATGTTTTCCAATAACATTAAGCCACCATACTGTATGGGGGAGAGACAGTGTTAAAAAGAGTTTTTTGTTAGTGCTTTGTGTGATGTAAAATTTCTTTTGTACTGCTATATAGAATTGGCTGTCCAGTTAGGTCAGTTGGTTAGAGCACAGCCTTGTAACACCAGGGTCAAAGATTTGGTTCCCCATACCCACCAGCTGCCAAAAAAAAAAAAACTACAGTTAAAATAACAATCTCTTCAAGATGTCCTAAAAGCATCTGATCCAAATGATACCATTGGACTTCGCCTAGAGTAGTGGGCGTTAACAGTATATGTCATCTTAGAATTTGTCAAATTTCTTTTTAGTGTTCTACATAGATTTGACTGAAAAAAAGCATTTCCACCCCCAAGTGTGAACATTTTTATTTTGTTTCCCAAGAGTAAGTAAACTTTTAGTCCAGCCATTTGTCTTGAAGTATGCCCTAAGTGTGTCCCACGGGTCTTTTCAAGAGGCAGGTACCCTATTACCAGTTGTCAGCTGCCATGGACAGGTTTCATTGAAAATGATGAAGTAATCAAATGGCCCATTAACATATAATATGGTATCCCTTTATCTGCCCTTTGCTCCTTTAGAGCTGTTTATAAAGTTTTTTTACATCTCAGATATCAGGATAAATCTATGTTAACTTTTCCGCCTGGGAAATCAAAAGCTTGCATCTAAAGAGCTTTCAGTGCCCTGTGCAATATAAGTTCTGGCTGGTGTTAATTATATAAAGATGGTGTATAGTTTTGTAGTGGATGAAGGAACTTGACTGGTTTGCAAAATCTTAGTACAAAGTTATCTTTTCTAATAAAAACCTCATGTTGAAAAAATTAGCTAATTTTACTTAGTCAAGTCTAATTAGGAAGTGCAGAAGGTTTTTTTCACATGCACATAGCAACCTTGTCAAGTAATCACAAAAAAGATTTCATAAATAATTTGTAATTCGCACAATATATTCAGCAGTGTCCTCTACAAATAGTACCCTGTACTAATAAGGTATTAATTACATCAGTACCTAATGCATAATTCAGTTCAAACATTGAAGGTCTATTTCAGTATTCTTCAAAATGTGGCTCACTGACCTACCATAATAGAAATTTGGGGATGGGATCCAGGAATTTGTGTTTTAATAATCATCCCAGATAACTTTTAAGGACACTAGTTTACAAATGTCTAGTCTATGTGCCGAGCACTTCATTAGGAGTTATGAATAGAAAAATGAAAAGAAAAAAGGCGTTGACAGTTTTCAAAGAAAAGTCTGGTAGGGGAGATAAGCCAAGTATACATATAAGTATAACACAGTCTGATAAATAAGTTATGTATAGGATACAGAGAAGGCAACAACTGGGTAGGAGATAGAAAACCTTCATGACGCAAAAGCAAAGTAAGTAAGTGCCAATAATGGCCTCCATTTGAGTGCTTTAGTATCTATCAGGTACTGTATTATATCATCTCCATTTCAATTGTACCTCATTTTACAGATACTCAGGCACAAGTAGGTTGTTACTTTGTCTAAACTGGAAGCAAGAGTTAAACCCAGACAATTAGATACATTCTTAACTGCTAAGATGCTTTTAAATGCCTAATACTGCTCAGAGTTCAAGTGGTTCTTGATTAGCAAAATCTGTTTTTATTAATAGTGCAAAAGAAATACTACAACTCATATATTAGAAAATATCACAAATGCAATAAATGGAGTTTTAACTGAAATATAATTCTCATTTTCTAGAATGGTGTAGTAGAGTGTGTGTGCACTGGTCCTTACTACATACAGGAAAGCATGCAGTTTTGTCTTTCAAATCTGCCTCCTTACTATATTGGCTTTCATCCTTCATGCAATTTTTTACAGTTACTAGAAGGTTGCTGCTGTGCCAGATGTCATGCCCATGTTGAAGGCAGGGCATGAAAAAATAGGCCTGTGCCATTTATAAACTCGTATATCTCCTTTGATGAGGAAAAGTGAAGCTTTCCTAGAAACTCCAAATGGATTTCCACTTGCCTTATTTGCCTGACCAGTTAAATGGTCACTTCTAGCTGCAAAGGAGGCTGTGTACATAACTGACCCAAATAAAATTAGTACCCTATTAGCAAAGAGGAAGAATATTGAGAAAGCAACTAACTGTTAAACTGTCAAATCTTTTTACTTTGAATAAATATTTTGTTTAACAAGTATATTAGCTAAAGGACTGTGTTGATGTTGAATAGCCAAGAAAATGGGCTATGGCAGACATCTGTTATTTCTTTTTTGGACTATCCCAAATCCTAACTCCTCTGTTTAGGGAATTCTTCACCTAATGATGCAGAGCCTTCCTCCCTCTTGAGTTATTTGAGAGTGCCAGATATATGTTTTCTCAGCTTCCTTTGCAGCTGGAGAAGATACGTCTGCCTTAAACTTTACAGTTTACAGATACAAAGAAGCAGGGAACCATGCAGAGTCCTTTGAAGATGGTAAGAAACAACACTGGCTACTATATTCAGCTCCACAGAGCAAAAGCGGGGTTTTTTTTAGTGATAACCTTTAGTCCCCATTGTTGGCAAAGTCAGTGATGTAAGCCGCAGTGTCTGCCCAACAGTGGAGACAGTGGGGTCTTCACTGAAGCAATTCTCTCGTGTCACTAGAGAGCTTGTAGCCTCCAATTCTGGTTTCCTGACTGTCCTAGAGATCCTGAGAATAACTTTTAATAAAATCCTGTTTTGTCAAAAATTAACCTGAATTGACTATAACTAAAAGCCCTGACTGATAAAATAAGCAGTTTTAAAAACAACCATACACATAAAAATTTTCTCAACATTTTATACATAATTTTGCACTTATATTTTAATGTAATGTTTCACCCTTATAAAAGGGTAAATGTGGAAAGCAAATAAATTATTAAACATAACTCATCATCTAACAAAAATTAGAACTTCACCAATGTTTTACATTTATATGAGCTCTTTTATCTTTCTCTGTGCCCCTGCTCCCTCTTTTTAATAGGTTTATCACATGTAAAAAGACCTAAAATATGTATGTATCCCTAAAGTGATTTATTTTTCAGTTTTGTTCCTTTTTAAACTTAAAAAGTGGTATATTGTATGTAGTCTAGGGATTTGATTTTTTTCACTTAACATGTTTCTAAGATTCATACATTTTGATGTATATAGCTGTCATTCATTTTCATTGATGTATATTTTATTGTGTGATTATGCAATATCTGTTAAGGAATACATACATGTATAATAAAATTGTATATTTTTAAAAAATCTTTGCTAATATCTGACTTACAAATTTTTAATTCTCCCTCCATATACCTCTTTTATGTTAAACACGTTTAAAAATAACCAGTCATACTTTTTTCTTTTTTGTTTTTTCTATGTATTTAAAAATTTTTTTTTTTTTTTTTTTTTGGCAGGTGGCTTGTACACGGATCTGAACCCTTGATGTGTGATATTATCAACACCACACTCTAACCAACTGACCTAACTGGCCAGCCATATTTTATATTTTGCAGTTATTTCACTGGTGTCTTATGGCAACTTTCAGAGTGAATTAAGGAGTATTACCCACAAATACTCATAGTGGGAAACAGATGGTGCTATTTCTTTTGTCACTCTCCAAGAATGCTAAAGAGGAGGCAGAACCTTCAGGTCTTTAATTAGCTACAACTTCATTCAACAGTTCATCTAGCCTCCTAGAAATGTGTTTGGAATTACTGGGTGAATTTCTGTATGTTGTTGATCCCAAGATTTACTTTTATTTCAAATTTTAATATCTCTGAAATTGGGATATATCTTACACAGACAGGGGTTGTATTGTGATTTATTGTAAGCATATGAAAAACTGGTTTGCATTCCTGGTGGGTAATTGGACAAAGATAACCTCGATATTTCAATCAATAAACAAAGGACCATTTGAGGAAAGAATTGGGTTTTGGTTGTTTTCTATGAACTTTCCATTGATACCTTCTTATAAGATCAAAAGAGTGCCAGCATAAAAATTTGGAGTATGGCTATATTAGCTTTACATTGCTGTATAACAAATTACCACAAATTTAGCAGCTTAGAACAACACCCATTTGTTATCTCACAGTTCTGTGGGCCAGAAGTCCATGCAGGGCTCAAATGGGTTTTCCTTTCAGGGTCTCCAAAAACTGAAATCAAGGCGTCAGCTGAGGCCAGCATCTCATCTGAGGCTCTGGACCCTCTCCCAAGCTCACATGGTTATTGGCACAATTCATTTCCTTGCAGCCATAGAGCTCATAGAGTCTGTCTTCAAGGCCAACAGATGCTCTCTCATTGACTTCTGGTCTCCAATCTCTAGACTTCCTTTTAAGAACACATCTGATTAGGCCAGACTGAACCAGAGTAATCTCCCTCTTGTTTAACCCAATTGATTAGAGATCTTAATTGCATCTGTAGTAATCCCTTTGCCATAAAAGAGGTATGAGTGATACCCTCTCATATGCACAGGTCCCACCTATGCTCAAGAGGAGGGGATGATACAAGGCATGTACACCACACAGTGGGGATCTTGGTGGCCATCTTGGAATTCTGCCTACCACAATGGCTTTAAGCAGCTTGGAATAAAATCTTGGAAACAAAGAAGCACTTGGAGTGAGCAGGACTGAAGCCATATTAGGACCTAAAACCACACAAGTTCTAAAAGATTTTTAAAAGACTTTTTTTTTTTTTGGCGTGAATTTCTCTGAGTTCCCTCTTTTCCCATCTTTATTTGATATTTCGAACCTTGGTTATGGAGCAAGATGACATTATTTCCATGAACATAAAGTTGTTTTCAAAAGTCTGAAGCTGCAGACTTGCATGTACTACCCAGACCCTGAGATAAGGATGGGAACATAAACCAGATAGAGTCTTGGCGAAACCTTGCACCCAAGACCTTGCATGAAGCCCTGACTACTCACATGCCCCTCCCTTCTACTTTTCATTTCCCACATTCCATTCCCTCAACCCCTCTTTAAAAACCCCTCAGTAAACCTGAATCTTTGAGATGGCTTTAGTCTGGCCATTCTCCTTCAGGTTTACCAGAGACATGGGTTAGCCTAACATCTCCCCTCAGGTCTCTGGTATTACTGAGTAAAAGCTGACTTCCATTTTCACCAACATATTTGACTTTTGAGTGGTTTATTTTTTGTCTGGGGACAGGCAGCCGGACTATGAGTATGGCAACAATTTGGGGGAGCGGGTCAGCCAGGAGCTGAGTGGCCCCTGTAACACACTTTGAGGAAAGGCTGCATCACCAGTTTTCTTGGTGGCCCAAAAATAATTCTGTGTGGAAAAAACTGGACATCTGTAAGCCAAAAGGCAGATTCCACAAAATCCATCAATGGGTGCTAACATTAGTGAACTAAAGATTAAGCAGAAACAGGATATTTGCATAGTCTCTGTTTTAGATTCCTAGGGTTGCCATAACAAGTTACCACAAACTGAGTGGCCTAAAACAACAGAAATTTACTCTCTAATAGTCCTGGAAGCTAGAAACCTGAAATCAAGGTGTCAGTTCCTTCCAGAGACTCTAAGGGAGAATGTGTTACATGCTTCTCTCCTAGCATCTGGGGTTGCTGGCAATTCTTGGTGTTCCTTTACTTCTAGATGTATCACTCCAATCTCTTATCTTCAACATGGTGTTCTCCCTGTCTTTTCTCTATTCAAAATTCCCTCTTCTAAGGACTCTACTTATTGGATTCCTGCCCACTGTAATCCAATGTGACTCCATCTTAACTTGATTACATCTACAAAGATTCTATTTCCAAATAAGGTCACATTCTAAGGCTCTGGGTAGATGTCTATTGAGGTGGGGAGGGAGTCACTAGTCAATCCAGTACAGTCCCAAAATATCTCCCCCATAAATATTTAGTAATTACAAAGAGAAAAATAGTAATTTTACAGTGAAGAATCTTGGCAGACACCAACTGATTAAGGTGATAAAGGGAAGAATCACCAATAATCCATTTCAACATCATATACCCCCTGATATGATACAATGAGAAGGGTACATCACCTCTGTTGTATTCTTCCAAATACAGTAATACATAACTTCAATCTAGTCAAGAGAAGACATCAGACAAAACCAAATTGGGGGATGTTTATGAAATAACTGACTGATACTGTTCCAAAATATTAAAGTCATGAAAGAAAGACAGAGACTGAGGAACTGCTACAGAATGGAGACTAAGGAAACATAACAACTAAATTCAGTATGGCATCTTAGATTTGATCCTGGAAGAGAATATGCACATTAGAGGAAAAGCCAGTGAAATCCAAATTAATTTTGTAGTTTTAGTTAATATTGTGTCTAAGCTAATTTTGTTG